CTAATGGGCCTCTCAGGCCCGAATAAGTATTTTTTTGGACCAATTTCGTTTTTTTTATCAAAACACTGCGTTTTGAGCAGTTCCACCAGGCGATTTTAAAACTGATCCGAGAGATAACTTCTCTGCTGTTTACTCTCCTATACAGGTTATTTTAAAACTGATCCGAGCGGTTTACTTTGGCTTTAAAAAGAAACTCTTATCTCTCTTCTCTCTTCACGCACTTTGAAACACAAAACCTATCGTTATACTATCAAAGTTCGATCAAACAACAATCTCTCTTCGTTTATCAGTAAGTCTCGTAGTCAACCATATATTGGTCCTACAATCTTAACTCTAACAAATCCTTACAGATTGGATTACGATAATAGAAACGTTTTTAACAGAAAAGTTTGTATCGCGATCGTTTCAAAAACGTTCTCGCTGATTGCTTTCTGTCGGGAAAGAAATCGTTTTGTTTAACGTTTGCGAACGTTTAAACAACTTTGTTTTCGATAATAGTTTTTGAATTGCGATTCTAACTTATTATTGAAAAATTTCTGATTTTGTCTATGTTTACATACTTAATCGTTTTTTAACACATCTCTGTTTTCTTTGTCTTTTTGGTTTTTTCAGAAATGCAAACCGAAACCGAAAACACCAATGTCAACGTTGATGTTGCGGCTACGTAACCATCGGGGCTGAATCTTCAGAAACGTTGAATGCTCAAGTCTAGTTCGGGACTCAACCTCCTGTTACAGTTACGGTCCATGTTGCCACACCAACTGAAACTGCCACTGCAACCACTGCTCAGTTTCCACAGGTGCAGATTCCATCTGGGAACTCTGTTGGTTTGCTTCCGGATAAGTTTGACGGAAGATACTTTAAGATGTGGCAAAAGAAGATGCACTTKTATCTTACCACGCTCAATCTGGAAAAGTACATTCGTGAAGAGTGTCATTTTCTCCCAGCGGATAATACTGATTATCGAGCACTTGCAAGTGTTGATGCGTGGAGACATGGTGACTTTCTCTGCAAAAGTTACATCCAGAGTCGTCTGGTTGATCAGTTGTTCAACGTGTTCAGTAACGCTGAAACTTCGAAGGAATTATGGGACTCTCTAGATAAGAAGTACCGTTCAGAAGATGCTGGATCCCAGAAGCATGTTGTGGCAAAATTTGAGAACTACAAGATGGTGGATTCTCGCCCCCTCATGGAACAAGTTGACGAGGTGCATAACCTTCTCCATGAGATTCATGCCGAAGGCATAAGGCTGCGTGAAACCTATCAGGTTGCGTGCATGATTGAGAAGTTTCCTCCAGGGTTCTCGGACTTCAAGAACTACCTCAAGCTGAAGAGGAAGTGGATCAGTATGGAGAACTTGATCATGCGACTTCGGATTGAGTTTACAAACCGCATGAACCTCGAAACTGCTAGCGTTCAGATTTTTGAAAACAATGCGAATTTGGAAGAGCACTAGAATGCTAAGAAAGGAAA